TTAGGAATACTTTTATGAAATGATAATGTAACTCAAGTTATTTTAAAAAGATGTAAACAATGTGGAAACTTTATGGATGTGGATAAGAAACTTGTCAGTTGATGTAAATGTGGATGTGTTAATCTTTCTCATGTAAAACAAAATAAATTCAGCAAGACATGTTTCTAAAAAATATGTTTGTCTTAAATTTGCCTCAGAATATATGTGCTTCTCATAAAACTGTCACTTCTTGAGACAACATCCTCCTTTTAAAGTCTGTCACTGTCCTTCTCTATGCAAAGCAACATCCTCACAATCTACTATAAAGACTTGACATCATGTCATCAGTTTCAGCAGAAGAAGAGAAGCTCCCATCAGATCACCTTCAGCACCAACCATGTTCTCTGTAGCTGTTCTGCTGCTGCTGCTGCTGGATCCTGTGAGTCTCACTGAGGCAGAGACACTGACAGTATGACCACAGCACTCTGACTGTTCACTGTTATTACACTGGTTCTATGTTCAACATGTTTGTCTCCACAGGTGTGAAGTGTGAACAGCTGACACAGCCAGCCTCTGTGACTGTGCAGCCAGGTCAAAGTCTGACCATCACCTGTCAGGTCTCTTATTCTATGAGTAGCTACTACACAGCCTGGATCAGACAGCCTGCAGGGAAAGGACTGGAGTGGATTGGAATGAAATATACTGGGGGCTCACACTTCAAGGATTCACTGAAGAACAAGTTCAGTATCACCTTAGACTCTTCCAGTAGCACAGTGACTCTAAACAGACAGAATGTGCAGCCTGAAGACTCTGCTGTGTATTATTGTGCCAGATACCCACAGTAACACAAACCATCAGTAGAACTGAACCAAAACCTTTCACCTTGGCAAGTGAAATATTTCACTGATCTTGATTAGCTGAAATTTCCATTTCAGTTTCCATCTTAATTTATGTGACGTTTTTGTGTTTGTCTTACCAGGTGTTGATGGTCAGACTCTGACTGAGTCTGAACCAGTGGTTAAAAACCCTGGAGATTCACACAAACTGACATGTACAGCCTCTGGATTTACATTTAGTGACTATGGTATGAACTGGGTCAGACAGCCTCCTGGGAAAGGACTGGAGTGGGTGGCTTACATTTACATTGGTGGTGGCAGTACTGACATCTATTACTGTCAGTCAGTCCAAGGCCGGTTTACCATCTCCAGAGACAACAGCAGAAACCAGCTGTATCTGCAGATGAACAGTCTGAAGACTGAAGATTCTGCTGTTTATTATTGTGCTCGAGACTCACAGTGACTGGAGCTGGTTGAGCAGCTGTACAAAATCCTTGAGTAGAGATACTTAAAAAGCTGAAACGACATTACAATTATGAATTTTTGTTTTTGTTGTTGTCGGTTTAAAAAAATATTTAAACATCAGTGCCAGTTTTACAACATTAGACAGTAATAATCACTTCATCACTAAAAACCAAAGGATGGCACAAGAGTGTCCCAATATCATTGTCATCCATTAAGAAAACACACAACATGATTTTAAACACATTTTTACAGTCACACACATATGCTGCTCTTATTAAATAAAAAAAATTGTAATGATTCAAGTTTCCAAATACAATGAAACTTAACTGGAGCAAAAAGACAAAACATTTTATGTTTTTTGTAAAATGGAAATTAATAATTCAACAATATGCAAATAGAGGTTACTCATAACTAATGTTGATCTCTGTTTCCACAGGTGTCTACAGTATTGATCTGATCCAGCCAGACTCACTGGTTGTGCAGCCTGGACAGTCTCTGACCATCACCTGTCAGGTCTCTGGTTATTCTCTGAGCAGCCATCACACAGCTTGGATCAGACAGCCTGCAGGGAATGGACTGGAGTGGATTGGAGACACTCATGCTGGATATGACACATACTATGAAGATTCACTAAAGAACAAATTCAGTATCACCTTAGACTCTTCCAGAAACACAATGACTCTAAATGGACAGAATGTGCAGCCTGAAGACACTGCTGTGTATTACTGTGCCAGACACCCACAGTAACACAAACCATCAGTAGACCTGAACAAAAACCCCTCAGAGCCTGAACACTAACATGAAGCCACCAGAGGAGGAGCCCTCAGACCACTGATGATTTCAGTCCAGTCGTTGCACCTGTGTATCTTCCCACCATTAGTGGGGTAGACCAGGGGCCTATTTCAAGAAGGCGGTTTTGTCGAAACTCAGAGTTTGTTAACCCTGAAATGAGGGAAAATCTGAGTTTTCGGTTTCAGAAACGGAGGTAACTTAAACCCGTGAAGCGGGGTAAGTTAAACCCGTTTCACAAAGAGAGGTAATCTAAACTCAGAGTCAGTTACTATGGCAAATTACTCTGTGAACCTAACCTGCTGGCGAGCAGGTTTTGTTCGGGAAACTCAGAGTTTCCTCCGGGTCTCCGCCCCTTTTTAAAGTGAAAGGTGTTTAATACCTCATTTAATCTTTCAGTACATTCATAGATTGCACACGTTTCCGTCACGCAGAGA